TTACAGAATTGAATTGAGTGGAATTAAATTGAATTGAATCCATCCATCCATCCATCCATCCATCCATCCATCCATCCATCCATCCATCCATCCATCCAGCCAGCCAGCCAGCCAGCCAGCCAGCCAGCCAGCCAGCCAGCCAGCCAGCCAGCCAGCCAGCCAGCCAGCCGCTTTGGGAAAAGATTTAGGAAGCAGTCTATATCTAATAGGAAAATATATCTGCCTATCTTACTGTCATACATCTCCCTCTCATAAAGTTTGTTAGATCTCTGGTTGTGGCATTTGGAATGTAGCTCCACTCCTCTTCAAGTGTGCAAAGCTAATGGATATCAGAAGAAACTTAAATACACTGCTGTATACGCTGATGTAAAGCATCCCAAGCATACTCAATGGGTAAAATGTCTGGTTCTTATGGTGGCCATGTAAAAACTGGGATGCTTCCAGATATTGTGTACAGATCCTTGAACATAGGACCATGCATTATTATTATCTAGCATGAGGTGATGGTCATGAATGCATACCTTGAATAGCCGATGAATATGAATAGCATACCTTACGATCTCACCACTCTATCTCTATTTGTTCAAAATGTTACCAATGTAATGCACCTACATTTGTTGTCTATACCATAAGCTTAATGTCCTCATGGCATGGACCTCTATATCCACAAACTATTGACCCACGTTATCAAATGTGAGCATGTGTTCTCTTAAGTTGGTAATGACAATTAATTCTGACAGTTTTTGCAGAAATTCTTTAGTTTCACAAACCAATTGTTGCAGCAACTGTCTGGTTGGCTGGTCTAAGATCATCTTGATACAGTAGCAAATATGCTAGATGTGGAGTTTTTGTTGTCTGATGTTGTTACATGTGGTCAACTGTTTAGAAGCCAGTTGTGCTGAGTTGATAATCCTTTCTTTCATGTAATAGAGAGAGAGGGCAGAGCACAGACAGAACTCGCTGCTTTATGTTGGTTCCTGTGAGAGCAAATAGTAGACACTCTTGTTCCGTCATTGATAAAGGCTGTTTTCAGGTGTCCTCAAGGACCTTATCCCCCAAATGTTCCTGAATATAGGACAGGAACCTTGAACAATAAATAATGAATAAAACTCCTGGGTTTACATTTCAGAGGCAAAAAGAGATGAAGAGTTGGAGCATGGAGAGTCAGATGTTTCGGTTTCTCTCCAGAACCTCTTGGATCTGAGACACTCTGAAGGAATGGATAGATGGATAGTTTTTTTTTCTTTCAATTTTTTCAACTCCTTTATACTCTTAAAATATTGATAAATCTGAGAATATGTAGTTGTTAGGTTAAAGTAATTGCTGCTTTACTACTGTTTAACTGAAGAGATCACAGTACGTAGTTGGAGTATTCTTTTCTGATTTAAAGCTTTTGTCATTTTTCTCTGTTATTTGGTCATTTTATTTCACTAATTAATTGGCTTTGAGAAATTATTGTGGTAGTTTTTTTTACTAAGCCTTTCCTTTAATCATCCTTTAGACTCATTGTCAATACAAAATTCCACCCATCCATTTTCTTCCGCCAGGTCGCAGAGGCAGCAGTCTAAACAAAGATGCCCAGACTTCCTGATCCACACACCTCCTCCAGCTGCTCTGGGGGGACCCTGAGGCGACACCAGGCCAGCTCAGAGACATAGTCCCTCTAGCGTATCCAGGGTCTTCCATGACAATACAAAATTGTCTCACAGTATATTTTCTTCATATTGTCCTTGGAACAGTGCATAAATGATGTTTTGCTTATCTTTAGGAGAGTAATTTGTAAACCAAAAAACACTTTTTCACATTGACACAGTTGTCAATCTTCTTGACTCAATTATAACCTCCTGCTCCTTAAGGACGAACGGGTGGATTTCTACATAAAAAGGTTTTAAAACTGCAAATCAGCTGTTGAGAAATTATCACTTAGTTGTCAATTATTACCTCCGCTTCTTAGTTTGATTGAGGTCTTCTTGACTTTGACTAGGCCATTCAAACACACTCATGGCTACACAATGGACCTTTGCTGCATGTGTTTCTTTTTCCCATTTCCTATAAGAATGTTGCAAATGAAGGTGACTAGCACTACAAAAACTTTAAAAAATGGTCTGCTTCATGTTTGACAATGCACTGGAAAATGAAATGATTTTTGTCTGCTGCAAGGTATATCTCATGCCATTATAGCTTATTAACTAAACTGACAGTGTGATTTAGTAGATAATGGGTATACAAGCCTGATATACTGACATATCAGATAACTGCCATTATAAGAGACATTTTCTTTTTGAGTGAATACAAAGCATACACAGCCATATTTCACAAATCACCATGCGATTACTTAACAGCCTGGGGATTAGGGGTAGATTTTTCTGTGCTGCAATCTGCTCCAGTGTCTCCTTAGCACTGATAGGATCAGGGGAACAGCCAGCAAGGCATCTGTTTGTGTGCATGTTTTATTCCCCTCCCCTCTGTCCTCCTTTATAGTTTCTTTTCATGCATCTTTCTTGTCACCCCCACTCTCGGAGAGCGAGAGAGGAAAACAGCATCGATCACTGTTAAATGACTGACCAGTGCCTGTTGGAGGTACTAAATGGATCTCCACAATTGAATAGAGGCCTAAGTGTGTGGTAAATGCTCTCAATGGGTAAATGAATTTGTGGGTTAACTGGCTCTAAGAGCGTTTCGATAAGGCAAAATAATAAAAACACCAACAGGACGTATTTTTCTTTGGATGTATCATAAATAAAGCTTGGCTGACAATCTTAGCTCTCACAGTTGTTACTGCAAGCCTCCTCTGTGAAAAAAGCACATCTCAGGGGTAACCAAAGACAATTCAGCTTTATTTTCCTCATATAGATTTAACTGTACACAGCTCATACCATTACACAGAAGGCATAAATGAATAAATTCAGTGCTCTCTTTCACATCTTTTTCAAAGACACATGGCAAGAATAATAAATAGCGCTCATGAAACCAGACAATCTACACGTTTTCAAACTGTACAAAATTTACAACAATAAGATGCAAACTTCCGAGGCAAAACAGAGTGAACAAAAAGCCAAAGTGATGGGTTTCCGCATTGTTTTCCTGTAAGATTCCAGATTGCAGCCAACAGGTTACTTCATCATTATAATTCAGTTGTGAGCAGCAAAGCATTTACTGCTTATCCATTGGCTTGTGCATGAAATAAGGCTGTGACACTTCTCTAATTGGAGGGAATATGTTTTTTATTTACCTGGTATAGACAAATTACTATTACCAGGTATTATTAAAATAAATGAACACATGGCATGTTTTTTTCTTACCCATGTTTGAAAAAAATATTTTTAAAAAGTTAATTACCTATAACATTTATTTCATAAATAGTCATAACAGATTATGCATAAATAAGCACATTAAGAAATAAATGTTCCCTTTAAAGACGTTTCACCCTCTCTTGTCCATGTTACCTACATATTAATGAAAATATACAGTGATTTTGGAGGTAAATAAACTGTATTTTGTGGGCTGTAATCTGTTGGTCTCTTTTGTATTAAAAAAAAAAGCAATACATGGTCCTTTTCCAAAAAGGTGCTCACATCAACTGGTTTCTCTTTAATAAGAAAGAGGAAAAGAGATGAGATATGGCAGGGTGCATTTGAAAGAAAACTTTTGCACAAGTATTAAACTGTTTTACAAGTTAAATGACGCTCACAAGGGATTTATTATGAGAAATTCTATTTGGAGCAAATAGTTTTTGAAGCTTGAGCTGATGGTGACTGATCTCTGCAGACGCTGAATTATCAGCTATGAATGTGGTAGACTGTGTTAATCCCTCTGCTACAAAGGGCCGGGCAGCCGGACAACAGACCGAAAACACATCTGGAGTTGGGGGAAGTAGGTTGATAGCAGCAAAGCTGGGGCTGCTGCTGACTGAGAAGATTATCAAGAGAAGGCTGGATCATACTGACAAGATCCAGCCTTAAAAGGGGTTTTCTTTATTCTTGTTAAAACCTATCGATGTTGTGTACAATTTGGGTTTAGCTGTTATGGAATCTACATGTTTTAAAATTGTACAGCTCAATAAAAATAAAAAAAAGCTGGAATGTGTGACCTATACTGAAAGTTAAGATTCTTCATGTGAAAAAGGTTTTAATACTGACAGATTTGTTTTTTTCTTAAGCATTTAAATCAGACAACGATCCTGTAAAAATGACCAGAGACCCGCTGTGTCACAAACCTCATCATATAAACAGCTTCTTCTTTAACAGATGGGTGAATGCCCAGATCAGCAGATCAACCCATTTCTCGAAATACTTTGTCAGTAATACAATAAAAAAAACATGAGCATGTTTCTAGATTCATGTTTGTGCCACTGTTTTTGCAAGTTTCTCTCAGAGTGAAACACTGTGTTTGCCTTGTGCATATGTCTCTCTCCTCTGCACTCCTGTCCTTACACATAGAAAAAGAAGAGGAGAGTAAAGTGCAATGCCAATGTGAAGGCTTTGATATGGCCGGACAGCGGTTCAACTCATGGTGATTCAGAAGCATGCAGCTGCCCTCTGGGTCTGATACAGATGACAGCCTTAATCTGTTTGGTTTAGCACAATCCACTAATGTTTTAGGAGCTCTGTCTCCCTTGTAACGATTGAACAAAATAAAAACAGGCAATAATAATAAAAAAATGTAATGATTCATTGTTGAGATTGAACATTCGGGTGTTTTTCATGGTTTAAATCCAGTCTGGCTGATATCTCACTGTTACGACTCCAGTCACTCTTCTTCTCCCCACCAAGAAACACAACATATAGCAATCTTAGAGGGTGAAGTAGAGAAAAGTTTAAAAAGAAAATAAATAAATTTGTTGTGTCCTTTTGATGAATCCCCACAACAGGTTTTCTACTGAGCTAGAGGCTCAAAACTGAGAATGGTCCATCTCGTCGAGCCAGGAGGCCGGGCTTGTGGGGAAGTCAGGATAACCCGTACTGCTGCCTGTGGATAGGTCTGAGGTGGGGCCCCCCGCCATGGCCCTCAGAGCCTGTCCCACTCCCCCTGGCCCCCCATGCACCACAAGACTGTCCATGTTAAAGGTCAGGTTGTTAAGGAGAGGTGTGTGGCCGGGCAGGGAGGCGATAGAGGAAGGTGACTGCGGGAGACCGTACGGGCTCCCTGGTCTGATGTCTTGGTAGGGCTGTCCAGCCGCATCAACTGAGAAGCCACCATTCAGAACTGCGCTGCTGGTCATGTCACTGACACTCCCGTAAAGGCCGTTTGCATGGCTCAGATCAGACAGGACTTGGTCGTCTAGAGAGGAGATCAGGAAAAAGAGATCAGTCAAAAATGGGACACAATACTGCTCTTCTTTAACAGGTTTGATTTGAGCATTAAGGATGATACAGTGCTTTCAAAAACATTCATACAACCTTAACATCTTGTTATTGTTGCAGCAACAGTATATTCAGCCCGCTGTTTATGTGATAGCACAACTCAAAGTGGTGTACTAATGTGAAGTGTAAAAAAAACTGGTTAAAGTGTTGTGTTCAGTTGCCTCAGCAGTCTACCAGTGTTTTGCAGAAAAGAACCATTGGTTGCAGTCACAATTCCAGGTAACTTTGTTTCGTGCCTACCGGCTCTGCAAAACTAGACTGAACTTTTTGCCCATTCTTTTTCGCCAAATAACACAGGGTCAGTTGACTAGACACAGTTCTGAAAACCAGTCTTCAACAGATTTGGGCTTTAACTAACACATTTTTCATCCAGAATGGCACATTATTTAGCTCTACCTGTATTCCCATCAACAATGATTTGCTCTGAGAGGAAGAATGTTTTGTTCAGGAGGACATCTAATGCACACAGACCAAAAGGTTTAATATTTATCTGACCAGGGCGTCCTTTTTTTTGCTGTGGAAATTCTGCAGTTTATCTACAGTAACCCTGTAAGATTTGGCCTCATATCAATGTTCTTCATTAAACAAACTACCAGTTTAGGCAGATGGGGATGTCTAAGAAAGTTTGAGGTTTGCTGATCCTTTTCTTTTCCAGGTGACCAAACATTCTGTGAAGCTTTTAAATCTTAGGATTTTGGAAAATGTCCAGCACGCCTTTAAGATTTTTACTTGACAAATAAAAATTAAACAATTTAAGTATTATTAACTTATTTCTTTCAGGATTATTTTAAGATTTCAGAAGTTCTTGACTCATTACCTAAAATGCAAAGATCCAATAAAGGATTGGAATTGTGACATTAAAAAGGTCTGCAGGTTCCTTCTTGTTTTATTTGGAAGAGGCACATTTTCTAAACAGTTTAAAGCTGGTCTGGATCCTAAAAGTTCTTCTATAGAATTATGTTGTGCAAATACTGCATTATAAAGTATTTGTTTAACTCTTTATTCGATCCCTGCAAGGCTTCCATAACAACAAAGCACTTTCTCTCTCTAATTAAATAAAAGCCTTATATGCTTTATAGAGTTTCTTTCACCATCTTTTTTCATTTCTCATAAAAACATCTTTCTTCTTCAAAGTGGTTTGGAGACTTTTATGATTATCCAAATACTAAAGAGGGCTGTGAACAGTAAGTAACAAAGAGGATGCCTAAAGCTCAATTTCCATCCCACTGGGGCACCTTTGCTTATTTCTATTAGCTCCGTCACATAAACACACTGTGGCAGGAAGCATCAGCGGTCACAGGAGAAAAGTCATTTTAGATCTGCCTCAAAGTGGCACCATCCAACAAGGAAGACAAGCGAGCAAATGAAAAGCCACAAAGATGCATTGGTATGTGCAGTTCTAATGGTATTTACCATTTGAATGCCCACTTAACCCTATTAGCCATAATATATGTCTGATAATTCCCTTTCTGCGACTGTATTATCTGAAAAAGTACCTCTGAAGCTCAGTTCGCTGTCACTAAGCCCTCCATCATCAGCTGAGCTCTCCTTCTCCACTTTGGTTCCTCCTCTGCTGCGTTTGACACTTTTATAGAACTGAGTCCAACGGTGGCGACCTGCATCTTTCTTTAGACGTTTTTCCTTGGCTCTCCGGTTCTGGAACCAAACCTGACAGGTTAAATAACAACATGCAAATTTAGAGAAAAAAATCAAGGATTCAGACCATTTTATTTGTGTCTATTAAAGCAATATCTATCTATAACCTTTATTTTTTCTTTGTTCTTTCTGTTATAGAAAATAAATTTGAGACATTTATCAGTGTGAGCAAACATTTTGTTTGCTTGTGAATATGATATAATATTTAGCATTTCCTTGGCTTGACAGTTGGAAGCACCTTAAAGGTTGATAAAAATGATAAATGTTTTTGTTTCTATATTTGTATAAAATATTTGTTTTTGTGAAAGATAAAGTATATAAAGTATATTTAAAATTGGGACATGAAAATGATTTTCTAATTTGAAATAATATAATAAAATATGCATAGAAATGTAAAAAAAGAACATTATTATCTCATTATGTGAAAACAATCAAACAGAATCAGTTTACAGTTTAATGACTGGATTAAAATCAAATGTGTTCTTTTAAGATTTTTTGTTTAAAAAAAATTGTTGCCGCATCAAGAAACTGGAATAATAAATATCTAAACAACGCATTCATTATTTTAATAATACGATAATAATAAGACTATAGAATTATTTTTCATAATGTAATTGTTTATAAACTACTGATGATCAGAGAAACTAGGAGTAATGTCTAATGACAGACGACTTAATTGGTTTATAGAACAACAAAAAATATGTTTGGAACAGAGTTAATTAATCTTTTCAGTTAATTTCCTTAAAATAAATAAATAAACTACCTGCACTACTCTCATGTCCAGGCCTGTCTCAGACGACAGCTGCTCTCTGACATGGCGGGCAGGCTTTGGCGAGTTTTTGTAGGCACTTTTGAGGGTCTCCAGCTGTTTGGCGGTGATGGTGGTCCTTGGTCGTTTGGTCCCACCCTCTGAGTCATCTGTAAACATCATTGCAAACATGAGTGACCTCCTACTTCTGCATATATATGTTGTGTGTGTGTTTGTGTGGTTTGAAAAAAGCAAATAGTTATGCAGGGCAGTGTATTATTGTCCTTGTGCATCTCTCCCACTCCCACAGCAGAGGACATAAATCTACCCTGTGCCAGAGGAGAGGAGTTATTGGAGCTGCACCATATAAGAGCATCGGTTCACTTTACATAATCAATCAGAGATGCATAGAAATCTCAGAGGAGAGGGAGGGACGGAAACACCACACACACCCAGATGACAAACACCAACGATCCACAGTCAGAAGTTATTTTGCCTGGATGAAAGGTGAACACAGCTTGTTCTATCAAGACCTTTCTGCATTTCTGATGCAGCCTAGTTAGGTCAGAGCCTTTCAGCAGTGATACAAATAGGTGGATATCTGCAGCCATTATTTTATAAAACAAAAAATATGTGTTCACTCTTGCTTGTTGTTCTGCCTTGACAGTGAGCACACCTACCGTTTTGCTTGGCGGTTTCATAATCCACCTTGCACACCAGCCTTCCATCCTCCATGAGGTAAAACTCATCCCCAGTTGCAAGCTGTCTGCTGCACATAATGCAGGCAAAGCAGTGCAGGTGATACACAAAGTCCTGTGCTTTCCTCACCACCTGTGTTGGAGGGATACCCTGCTGGCATGACGCACATTTTGTCCCAAAACGCCTGAGGGAAAACAAGAAGTAGAGGGAGGATTTTAGAGGATGTGGTAATGATGATGGAGCCTGTTACACAAAGAAAACACAATTCTGAAATAATAAAATCTTCCAGTCAATGAAAAATTTAAGCTCTATTAAGAGCAGTTACGCTGTTCAAAAACAAAAATAAACACATTCTGCAGCGCATTTCTTTAAACAATTAGGTTATATGATGCCTTTGTCCAAAGCATCAGTTTTTAATATATCTGTGCATTTTCATGCTTGTGTTTTTGCAGTTTAAGTGCAAACAGTTATAGAGCTGGAGGCAGAGAAAGGCAGCAAACAGTAAACCCACCCTTGTAAGAACTAATAAAACACAGAGGTTCAAATCATAAAAGCACTTGATCAAGAATAAATTAAAAAAAAATCTAAGTGAAGCCTCCAAACCAGCAAAAAAACCCACGTGTGCTATTCCATGTTTCAGGAGTTTGAACATGCCAATGTCCCCTTCGTCGGCCCCCTGGGTCAGCTAATACAGTTAGCAACCAGTTAGACTCCAGAGCTCCTCGGGTCTCATTCAGGGTTTGAGCATTAAAACCTTTCAAACATGATTTAGTAAAAAGCCCAGATCTGCTGATCCTGTTTTGAATAAAAGTCAAACTCAATTTAACTCTGTAATGCTTTTGAAATCCAATCATTAGAATAAAGAAAAAAATAAATGGAAAAATAAAAAAATTAAAGATTGGGAAAAACAAGGATTTATAATCAGAGCATGATAATCTTAGGGTGTTGAAATCAAAGATTATATAAATAGCATCTGCACCAGGCAGGTTACAATAAGAAAGAATGGAAAAAAGAGTTATTGTTGCAAAACTACAAGTAGTCTTCCATCACAACCTACACTCCTTCTAATGTGATGCTGTAGAATGTACTTTTGGTTTTGTTTATCTATTTAGAGCATGCAGATTGCAGCACTGACCCCAACCTGTTGCTACACACTACTAGTCAGAAGGCTAAAAGTCTAAACAAGGCCTGTAACCCCCCCCAAAAAGAAAAAAAAAATGTGTTATTATTTTATTATTTTAAAATTAACTAGAGAATAGTAGCTTTTTTGTGTGCTATATTTTAAAGAGCTCAATGACAAAATGTATAGTATTCTCTGC